AGATCAGCAGATCAGCAGATCAGCAGATCAGCAGATCGAGACCCGAAGACATGGGAGAGACTAACGCCATGCTACCGGTAGTGGTTGGTGGTACCGTTCCACTAAGCCCCGGTAGTAAATATCTGTTGACGGCAGCTCGAAACGCAGAATCATGGTTGATGCCCATGAATGTGCGTTTTCCACCGTTTTTTTTTTTTTTTTTTTTTTGGGGGGGGGGGGGGGGGGGAGGAATGTGCGCTTACAGCTAGGCTCAGGGCATACTCATATGAGGATGTCTCAACTTGATATCTGGACGTAATTACGGATAGATTCATCCATGTCTGACGGTAAATGCTGTCAAATACATTCAAGATAGCGCTGCATAGCGTTAGTACGCCCTCATTCTCTCGAACGGAACGCGTGGGATTCACGAAGCCGCATGCTCACTGAAGCTCGCTGTCTGGTTCGTTCGTGCACCCATGGGCCCTCGCTGCACTACTCTCGAAATGCGCAAAACGAGAGTGAATCTTCCGGAAGAATATGGAAAGATACACGGCCATGATTTGTGTCTCTTGTACATGTCGAGACCAGTGCAGCGAGGCCCATAGTACCCGCGTGGCTCACGCCTATAGCCCATGCACCTGGCCGGATATGCTGCCAGATGCGGCTGTCGAAATGCCAAGGCTTGTTTGCTGAGTGTTTGCTACGAACTGCTTACCCTAGGCTCTTGCTGCATTAGAGTGAATCTTCCGCTAGAACATGGACAGATACACCGCAATGATTTTTTGTCCTTTGTGCATGTCGAGAGTACAGGAGCGAGGCCCTTAGTCGCTAAAGATAGCAGAGGGCAGCCCGCATATACATTTGTGCAAGAGAGAGAGAGAGAGAGAGAGAGAGAGAGAGAGAGAACAAAAGACAGCGGATGGCAGCCTTCAGATACATCCGAGGAGAGAGAGAGAGAGAGTGGATGACAGCCCGTAGATACATCTGAGAGAGAGAGAGAGAGAGAGAGAGAGAGAGAGAGAGAGTGAGAGAGAGAGAGAGAGAGAGAGTCAGTCATACATCCGAGGAGAGAGAGAGAGAGAGTGGATGGCAGCCCATAGATACATCTGAGGGGAGAGAGAGAGAGAGAGAGAGAGAGAGGKGGGGGGGGGTGTGCAGAGGGAGGGTCGTCGTCGGCAGGATTTCGTGTGTGCGGCTTGCGTGCGACTTTGGAGCGACATCTCTCCGTCTTGTCCTGGTAGAGAAGTGAATGTTCAGTGTTCTCTCTGTTGAATATCTGTGAAAGTACTTACTGTCTTCTTTCCTTGTCTTCATTGTCTCCCTATCTTGTTTTTTCGTTGTCTCCCTTCGTCGCATCTCGATCTTTTTTTTTTTTTTTTTTTTTCAGCTTAATCCAATCCTCCTCGTTGCCAGTGGGACCTCGAAGGACTCCTGCTCGTCATTTTCCTCGTCTTTGGTCTTTTTTTTTTTTTTTTCGGCTAACCAGGATTTTTTTCCGTTTGATAACGTAGTAGAGAAAGAAATCTCCATGCAAATGACAATAACAAGTGTGAACTTAAAGCCAAAGAGGATGGAAAAAAAGAACAAAAAAAAAAAAAAGAGGATGAAAGAAGGAAAGAAGCAGAAAGGAGAAAGAGACAAGGATAGAAAAATGAGAGAAAAAGACAAGGATATTACACCCCCCCCCCCCCCCCCCCCCCCCCCCCCCCCCCCCCCCCCCTCGATATATATATTGCTATAAGCTCAAAATATAAAGATGGTAAGAAACACCGTAGGATGGTGGGGACCACCATAGCATGAAGCACAGCTGGCATCAATCCCGACCCGACAGCTGTTTCGGGCAGCAGCATGCCAGAACCGGCCACCCTCAGGGGTCACTCTGGGTAATCAGTACTAATTAGTACTAATTACCGAATTTCGTTGATGATGTCATCTGCGCGAGGGAGGATGACAGGCTTAAATCGAGAAAAGGTCCATATAAAGTAAAAATAGATAAAATAAATTATTTGATGACGATGATGATAATGATGATGATGATGATGACGACGTCTCCATTAACTGGAGTTTGTTTGAACGAGTTCTTTTGTGGTGGTGGAGGGTGGGGGGCGCTTTTTTCGTCGTGATCTTTTCTGCTTTGCGCTCTTCCTTCTCCTGTTTTTTTTTTTTTAATTTTTAAGTTTTATTTTTGTAAGCTACCATGTGAAGAAAAAACGGATGAATACAGAATCTCTTGATGATGATGATGATGATGATGTACAGAATCTCTTCTTGATGATGATGATGATGATGATCTCCCGATTTATATTCGAGTGTGTGGAGGGGAGGGGAGGAGAGGAGAGGGGAAGTTGGGGGGGGGCTGGGGTGCGCCGACGGGGGTGGGGGGAAGATCAGGTGAGTTTATCAGGCCGTGTGAATCTATACATGTAGCCTTGTTATTTTTATTTTTTATGTCAACAAGTATGCATTGTGTTCCAGTCAGCTTCCACCGTGTATACCCGAATAGAACGTAGGTTCATCATTGCTGTATCGAGACTGAAAGTTGCGTCAAATGCAGGTATAATGATCGTGCGTTCTATTCGGTGTGAAGTCCACTTCGCTTTTCTTCTCTCTCTCTCTCTCTCTCTCTCTCTCTCTCTCTCTCTCTCTCTCTCTCTCTCTCTCTCTCTCTCTCTCTCTCTCTCTCTCTCTCTC